GCCCAAGGTCCAGAAGTTTAGACACTAGTCTATGTGGAAGAATTGTGTTAAAGGCAGAACTAAAATCCACAAAAAGCATCCTCACATAGCCCCCCCGCTGTTCTAGATGAGTCAGAGCAGTGTGAAGAGTGATGGCTCTTCATGATGATAGGAGTGAGTGCCACTGGTCTGTAATCGTTGAGGTTATTGATAGGGAACTTCTTCGGCAGCGGAACAATGGTGGAAGCCTTCAAATAAGATGGAATAGTGGACTGAGATAAAGACCGATTGAAGATCCTGGTAAAGGCTCCAGCCAATGATCAGCACAGACTTTAAGCACTCGGCCAGAGATACCATCAGGACTGGCAGCCTTTCTAGGGTCCACAACCCTCAGAATGCTCCTCACCTCCTGTTCCTCCACAATGAGGTGGGGGCTACAATTGGCTGGTAGTTGTGTTTTATCTGCCTCTGATGTCTCCACTTCAAAGTGAGATTAATTTAGATTAAGGACGGACAAAGTTTGTCCAAATTAGTTTATCCCCAAACAGGGATTGCAGTGAGAAGGAAATGCAAGGATATCTCTCTTTTGTACATGTCTATATGAATCACATTCACTGAAAAATTCCTTGGAATGGAAAATAACACATCCCTCCAATGTATGTTGTAACAAACACTCCCAAGCATACTTTCCTTCAGAGTACACGTGCCCAGGATCAGCATGCATGCTTTCAATACCCATGTTTGCTTGTGCAAGTCATTGTTTCCTCTAAAAACAACATGAAAAGAATTCATACATGGCTGGGAAGTGAATAAGCAAGTAGAAACTGAATCAATCTCTTTTGGATTTTCAAATTGTGGCATATTTGAATTTGACTCAAAACTAGCAGGTCCAAACTCCTCATAAATCAGTTTCAGCAGGAAGTACATTTCTGGTGATTGAAGTGTGTTTGATTGATTGGAAGGGACTTTGGAGATCAAGTAGTTTAATCCCCTGCCCCCTCCAGAAATCTGCTACAACAGCCTCAACTGCAGCAGATGGTCATATCACCTCTATTTAAGTATCTCTAGTGAAAGAAACTCCACTCTCTCCTGCGGTTGTCTGTTCAATTATTGAATAAGGATAGAATGTACTGGATTGTAATTTAAACTCATTGTTTCCTTTCCTGTGGAATAACTGTGAACAATTCTTCTCTGATCTCTACGTGACAATCCATCAGATACTGCAAGGAAATTCTAATGACTCCCCCACAATTATCTGCTTTCCAGATTAAACACACTCAAAGTATTTAATCACTTTTCATATGTTCCTTCTCACATCCTCTACCATCGTTATTTTACTACCCTGAACTTGTTCCAGTTGATCAATGTTGTTCCTAAAATACAGTGTTCAGAACTGTAAACAGTGTTTTAGATGAGGTCTGACCAATTCAAAATAGATCCATGATGATTTTTGATCTTGATACTATACATGTGTTAATGCAGATTAGGATTGCATTTGTCTTTGAGCTTTTTGCACACTGTTGGCTCATGCTCAGCAGGATCTTTTTGTGTGTGATACTGCTTTATATGTTCTCCCCTTACTCGTGCCTTTGATTTTTCTCACCAAATGAAGAAATTTGTCTTTGTTGAATTTAATATTGCTGGTTTCTGCTTATTGTTCCAGCTCAATGTTCATTAAGATGTTTGCTGTCCCACCTGTTGGGAAGCTGCCAGCCAGGCAAGGAGGAGGATCAAGAAGAATATTAGCCTTGAGTTATTGCGCAGCTGCAAGAGATTTAGGGGTTCCACCCTCCCTAAATTCCATGGGACCTTACATGTTTGTTCCCAAGAGAAGGCAACCAACCTGGGGATGTTCCCGTTTTATAGGCAGAACACAACAAAGTAGCTACTTTGAACTCTACAGGTGTGGACTTGGTTGCTTGTGCCTGACACCTTCTCACTTTTGTCATCAGCAAATATGATTCTTGACTCATTTTAATCATATTTTCTACCTGTTCCACTAAGTTCTTTAGGTCTACATTCAACAGCAAAATGTCCAAAACAAACCTTTCTGCAGACAGTGGGATATATTCCATGACACCGTGCATGGTGCTTGACCTGATATTGTTTTATGTCGATCAGAATGCATCATCATCAGTAATGACCTTGCATTTTATTTAAAATGGATCACATCTCCGTTGCACTGATTGGAACTGGAGTACAGGTTGTAAATGATTTCCGGTTGCTTTTTTCTTGATAAGCTGCCACCTAAGTGGACTATGCTGTATGACAGCCATATGCAAAATTCTGATGTCGAAGATTGCCTGTTGAATGGTTTTCATGATTCTCTTCATTAAATGTATGCTTGTTTTTCTTGCTGGCAAGTGATACTTGGAGGAATAAAAATCCAAAACTGGTAACTCTATCAATTGTGTGTTCTCCTGCATCAAACCTGTACAGAAGCACTATTTGCCAGAGTCACTACTGGCTGCAGAATTAGTTTAATCTATGTTAGCATGTATGCTGCCTGTATGTTAGCATGTAAATGCAGCTGCCTGCCTATGTCCTCGAGTAGAACTATCCATATTGATATAGCTGATTATTCTAATCACAAGCTCATCTTGAAATTTTTGCACTGACAGGCACTTCTATTCCTGAAACATAGCCCCTCTTCCTGATTTCTTGGTCATCCACAAGTCTACTGAGGATCAGGCAACACTAAATAAATGGTGAGATGCCTGAAAAAAAAAAGGCAGGCTGAAGTAGCTATAGATCTTTGTAACTTCATCAAGCAAGAATATATTTAATTATAAAACATGGGCTGGGTCTTAAATTTTGATGAAATCATAAAGAACAAATTCAGATCTATGATACATTCATTACAGTAAATGAGCAATTTAATAAAAAATATGGAAGTAATTATTCTGTAACATTGCCACTGAGGAATCATCAAAATTCAACTTTCAAAGCCAAATATTGTCTTTCCATGGAAATTCCATGTAAAAGTTATATTGAAAAAAATGCTATTAGATTTGAAAAAAAAATACAAAGGATACTTAATCGGGAATTCAGGAAAACAGCTTTTCTATAGAAGTTCTTGACTTACAACCACAACTCAGTCCAACATTTCCATTGTTAAGCAAGACAATTAAATGAATCATTTTGTCATTAAGTGAATCTGGCTTCCGCCATTGACTTTGCTTATTGGAAGCTGTCTGAGAAGGCTACAAATGGTGACTACATGACTCCAAGATGGTGCAACTGTCATAAATATATGCCAGTTGCCAAGCATCTGAATTTTGATCATGTGGGGATGGGGATGCTACAACAGATGTGAAAAGGATCATAAGTTACTTTTTTTCAGTACCATTGTAATTTTAGATGGTCGTTAAACAAATGCTTATAAGTCAAGGACTATCTCTATAAGACTGATCCTATTCTTAGCATGTACATAGTCCAAATAAGTTTTACTGGTAAGTATTTGGTCACACACTAACTGGTCTAAACAACTGTAGAAATATAGCACACTCACCAAATCTTAGCATAGTACTGGGAAGGCTTCATTAAATCATAGTCCCTTTCTAGATTGATACAGATAGCAGCACGCAAAACTTGAGTAGTGTAGCCAGTCATTCTATTGGGAAAAATGTTATGTTGCCAAGGTTTAATTGTTTTCTGTAATAGACAGGCTTATATTTGTTAAATCCTTTTTTCCAGCTTTTTCTCACAAAATGAAACAGGTTGTCTTAGTTTATGTTTCCCTCAAGATTTGTTAGTAAAAATAGTCAGGCCAAGGTGGGGTTTTTTGGGTGGGGGTGGGTGAAGGGACTAAATTTAACTCCCTAGTAGAGCAAGTTATTATTGGATATCCTGCAATGTACTACTCTTCTTTGACTTGAAATATGTTGGAGGAATAGGAAGGAATTGGTAGTACTTTTTCTAAAATAAAAAAATTGATCAAGAGGCATTAAGCTGCTATGGAGTTATTTCTGATTTTGGACTACTATAGACTAAGCTCTACTCCTACAATGTTGGAATACGATATTTATTCCAGTAAGAGCAGAGATTCTTACTGTTCTTTCCTGAAGATTTGTCATCAAAGGAAACAAATACTGCTAATTCACAATTTAACATGTGAAGAAGATTAAGCAATCTAATATGACCTTGGCTTGCTTTAACAGATTCCACCTCAAGCTTACTAAATTGTTCCCAGGAGGGTTACTAAACACCATTAACTTTAAAGTATATTTCTTTTTCTTTATTCTCTAAAGTGAAATCCTGTGTTAGTCTAGTATGCAAAAAAACAGTCCATGTACATTGAAATGGCACCTAAATTTATGTTCAGATTTCAAAAATATGTAAGCATGGTTAATTGAGGCTTTACCAAATAATGGTTTTAAAATCAGCAAATTACAAAGTATTTTACTACGTTTTATTACTTTGTTACACTGAATGTCAAATTAGGCAATTGAACTGGCAACAGATACTCTTATCACTAACCATAATATAGTTTTTTATTTTTAATGCTTTTATTTGTAATGCTGGTCTGTGACTGTACTGAAATTTGTTCGAATTGCAAAAACCATTTTTTTAAACCAATCCACCGTTTCTCGTAGAGTATATACATGAAAAAACATTATTTGCCATTTTTAACGTTTGCATTCTAATTAAAAAAGAAATAGTGAAGCGAAGCATGATGGGAAACTCTTTTGAGTTTTTTCTAGCAGTAACCCATTGATAATCATTCCCAAAGCCGCCAGTAGTCGCACTTTCATTGCATGTAGTGCGACGCAGGGAGAAGCATCAGGTGATCTCGGGGAAGAAGAAGAAAAAAAAAAACCGTAAGTACCACTTTTCCATTGCACGTTAGCCTTCGCCTTCTTCCTCAGGCATGATGGGAAGTGTAAGCCGCGCCGTGGCTCGAGGCGTCAGAGAGAGACGAGAACTACATCTCCCAGGCAGACCCCGAAGGAGGAGCAGCGTTGACGCAGGCGTGGTGGAGTGCGGACGGAAAAAGGGGGGCGTGGCCTCGCAGTCTGTCTCTCGCTCTCTGGCGGACAGGGAGAGAGCGAGCGAGAGGGAAGGAGAGTGTCGCTGTGCGCGCGTCTTTCGGGGGCGGTCGCCATTTAGCGCGGCCAGTTTCCCCCCCTCACTCGGGAGAGGTGGCAGTGAGAGGCCCATCCCCCACTCTCCTCACGAGTGGGAGGGAAGGACGGACGTGAAGAAGCTCCGGCGGCAGGCAGGCAGGGCTGGGCAGGCGCGGCGCCCCTTCTGGGTTATTTCCCCGCCTCTCCTCCCACTCCCTCAGGCCAGGCGGTCTCCGATCGGAGGGTGGCCTTCTTCTCTTCGGGCTGAGAACGAAGCCCCAAAGGAGGAGGGGCGGCGGCGGCGGGCGTCCCGGCATCGCGCGAGGGAACGAACGGAAGAAGAAGGGAAGAGGTGTCGGCGGCGAGGACGGGCCGGGGAGGAGCCTAAGCGAGCGGCTGAGCCGGACTTCAAGGGAGGCAAGGAGCTGGGCGAGAGAACGCGCGCGGCCGCGACAGCCACGGGCCTGCCCTTACCGCGCACCCCACCCCGCTGGTCCGGGGCCTGCCGAAGGCTCCTTCCCGGCCTCTTTCCTCCTCTGACTCCCCCACCCCACCTTCGCTGCTGCTCCATGTCGGCCCTGCTGTTCGGCTCCCCGCTGCAGCAGGATGGATGCGGACACTGACTGGGGAGCCACCTCGCCACCGCCGGCCCAGCCAGCCACTCCACGAGTCGCCTCGCCGTCGTCTTTGCTCCACACCGCCCGGAGATTCCGGGAGCCGCCTTTGCAGCAGCACCACCAGTCCCGAGAACCGCCGCCTCCGCCGCTTCTGCCGCCTTCCGAGCAGCTCTTGGGCGCGCTCGCCGCCTCGCCTTGACTGGCCTCGCGTCAGCTGCTGCAGCGGCAACTGCTGCGCGCCCTCCTGCGCCTGCCTCCCTTCGACATCATGTCAGCGGGCGCTCCGGAGAGCGGTGGGGCGTCGGCGGCGGCGTCGGCTGCTGCTGCTCCTCCTCGCTTCCTCGCCCCGCCGCCTCCCCCGCCCAAGAACGGCTCGAGTTCGGACAGCTCCGTTGGAGAGAAGCTCGGGGTGGCCGCTGCGGGGACGTCGTCCGCCCCGGGAGATCCCGAAGGTTCGGAAGGGGCCAATTGCCGTAGCGAGGAGTACCGGCGACGCCGACACACCATGGACAAGGACAGCCGTGGTGCGGCGGCCACGGAACACCGCTTTTTCCGCCGGAGCGTCATTTGCGATTCGAATGCGACCGCTCTGGACCTTCCGCGGCTACAGCCTGCGGCTCCTCCCCCGGCTGCCGCCGCCGCCGCCGCCGGTGCTGCTCGAGGGAGCATCCCGCCGGTGTTGGGCTCTCCTCCCGAGTCTGTCATCCAGGCAGCCGGCGCTTCTGTCACCTCCAGCCAGGCTCCCGCGTTGCTACTACAGCCGCCCGCACCTCTGCCTCCAGCCGCAGAAGTGCCGTCTGGTCCAGAGCTCTTGGTAGCCAAGGAGGTTGGCCCCCTATTAGCCAAGGAGGAAGGGATTGAAGCTGCTGCACTGCCACCTACCAGTACGGCAGGAAGCGTTACCGCTTCGGCCCGGGATCTGCAGGAAGAGCGGAGTAAGCGGCAAGAAGATATCGAGGAGCAGGAGACCAAAGCCGTGGCTTTCTCTCCAGATGGTCGTTTTTTGAAGTTTGACATTGAGATTGGCCGAGGCTCCTTCAAGACTGTCTACAAGGGACTAGACACTGAGACCACAGTGGAGGTTGCTTGGTGTGAGCTGCAGGTACTAGAGTCGGCATTCGTTTTTTTGATGCTGAGTTGGTAGGCCTAAGGCAAGGGTAGTATTCCAATAAGCCATATGTGGAAGATAATACTTTTCCAAACTTTTATATAGCCTATTTTTATGTATGTGGTAAATGATTTAGTAACCATTAATTTGGACTCAAGTTGGAATTCAGTTAATTTCTTTTGATTGATGAAAACACACTGTCAAAGAAAAGGAGTAGATTTTTAGCAGTTCCCCTTTTTCTCTCTCTGCTGTTCTGCACTTCTCCCCCTTTTGCTTCAGATATTAAGTGACCACGTGGAGTAGATTTGAAGGACTTTAGGAAGGAAATAGAATTGCTGAAAAACCGCCTTCTCTTTTTCTGCTGATGGAAACCTAGCAGTTGAGAGTACCTAATTGAATTCTTCCTATCATATATATTAAGGCTGCACAGAGATAATTAAATCGGGAGTGGAATATGATTTTTAAGCTTTGATTTTGTTTCAAAATTATTCCCATTTAAAATAAGGGGTTAAAAAAGAATTAAGGTTTTTGATGAAGTTACTGTTCTTCCAGTAATATCACTAAGTGCTCTGCCCTTTGCTGGGGACCTCGCTTTTGCTTAAGTTTCTCTGTTGGGTGGATGTATGCCAAAAGAATACCACATTAAGAAAGTAAAAAATTACCATAATTTTTAAGGAAAGTGCAACTTTTTCTGATGCCAGAAAGCCCTAGAATTAGCAGGATCTTCAATTAAAATATGGGAAAACTGGCAACTTTTATAGCCAGTTCATGATATGGGACTGGGTTATTTTGAGGAGCTGCCTTCCCTGATGATAATATCTGCCCATCCTGTTCTTGGTAAGTCACAGGAAGCAAGTCTTCTCTGTTGTGGTGCCTACCTTATAGAACACACACACACACACACAAGTGAGGTTTGCTCTATCCCTGCTAATGTTTCAGAAGTCCCTCAAGACCAGGTTATGTTATCAGGCTGGAGGGTCCCCGGGTACCAGTGAAATTCTAAGATGCTCCATCATTGTAGTTAGTATCCACTCTCTCCTGTGCCTTTTTATTTTTAATGATTGTTTTGTATATTTAATAATGATTGCTTCTATATATATTTTTATTTAATTGTATGCTGTCCAGGGTCCCTTTTTGAAAGATGGGCAGCCATATAAATCCAATAAATAAATTAATTGCCTGTACAGCTACAATTGGTTGCAAAATTGCAGGCTAAGCACATGGTACTTTATTTTTAAACCAAAATTAATTACTGTGATGGAATGATATACTTGATTCCATAATAATTTGTGAAATTAGGGAAAGGCATAGTGAATCTGTATCAAGATTCAAAGTGTAATATTTTCTGTATTCACTCATTTACCGTAATTGCTAACTGAAGTATATTTTGCACATTTTTGTATGAGCAGTCTTACCAAGGTTATATTCACATATGGCTTTTTAGAAAGCATCTTGTTAATCATCATTGATTGGGTATAGAATTCTCAGGTTGGATAAATAGTTTCAGGGTCAATTTTGAAACAGGCAGAGTAAATCAAATGTGGTAGGGGAGGGGAGATGGAGAGGCTAATGAATGGTGAGGATAGCTAACAGATTATCCATCTGATCCAAATATAGAAATTAGAACGGCTATTCACAGGTTTCTTGTATTTCTCTTTCCACAATTCTATATGGCATTTGGATTTCTAAAGTGGTGATTTACATGTAAGTCAAGTGTTTAAGTGTTCAGATAAATTACCAACACCTGACTTGTGGCAACAATTTAGTTACAAATCGGCCATCTATTTTTTTCTTGGTGGTCTATGGTAAGCAATATAGTGGATGATGGTTTGAGGATGTGTTCTTTTTTAACTTTCTATATTTTTAAAGTCCTTTGAAGCAGGAATCAAGTGTGCAAATTGGTAATTTCTGTGGAATACAGGTAGTCCTTGACTTACAACAATTATTTAGTGACAGTTCAAAGTTACAATGGCACTGAAAAAAGTGACTTATGACCAGTTTTCACACTTATGACCTTTGTAGCAGCCCCATGATCATGTGATCAAAATTCAGATGCTTAGCAGCTGGTTCATACTTATCACCATTGCTGTATCCCAAGGTCATGTGATCATCTTTTCGACAAGCAAAGTCAATGGAGAAAAGTGATCCACTTAACTGTGTTACTAACTTATCAACTGCAGTGATTCATTTAACTGGCAAGAAAAATAAAATGGGCAAAACTCACTTAACAAATGTCTCACTTAACAATAGAAATTTTGGGTTCAATTGTGGTTTTAAGTCAAGGACTACCTGTATCACTTATGCTAGTTGAACACAGAGTAATTTGGGGGACATAAAAGATTGTAGCAGTTGGATATGCACCCAGTTCTAGAATCTATGCCTTGATGTACTTGCTTTTAATAACTTGGTGAAACTACTATTGGATCTAGTTTGTCTGAAGAGCTTGACCATGATGTAAAAAGTTTGGATTTTAAATGAAATTGTATTTCAAGGTAGATTAATTTATTATCAAACAACTTACATTGGGTGAAAAGTAATATGGCTTATCTCCTAGGATTTGAGGTTTTGTTTGAATTTTCATTTTATTTAGCAACATTACCGTATTTTTCTCACTATAACACACACCTGACCATAAGGCGTACCTAGGTTTAGAGGAGGAAAACTAGCAACGACAAAGACAAAAGAGGCGGGGTTCAGCTCTATAAAAGGACCACGCTGCCATGGCCTGTATTTTTCGCTCCATAAGATGCACAGAAATTTCCACCTACATTTTGGGGGAAAAGTGCATCTTATGGACCAAAAAAACAGGGTAATTACTTGGTATGCACTATTAGAATTGCTGCCATACCGATGAATTAACATAAAAAGAAAACTGAGATTTAATTGTACAGATGCTACAATTTTCTATTTTCAAATACCAGTACATTTGCTCTACTTGTATTTTTACATTGCCTCTTACCCATAACATTCAGCAAGTCTTACGTTGGAATGATGGAACTAACTTTTTTTTCATAAAGTACCTCATAATGAGAATATCAAATGATAACTTTAAATTTTGCAACTACAGTTTCTTTTAATTTAAAAGTAAACATTCTTCTGAAAACTGAAAGAAGATAGAAGATTCTATTAAAGGTTTCAATTATTTTGAAATTATTTTAAAATAATATATATCTTAAAAATAGGCTTCAAGGTACATTTTGTAGAATGGTCTAAAATGTTTTATTTATATATTTGTATGTAAAACTGGTGCAATCCTGACACCCTCTTGAATTTTAGCAGTTTGGCAGCATGCTATCCAGTTGCATCATCAATAATTGAGAAGGTTGTATCAGCTTTTTGGGGATTATGTGGTATGCAAGATAGGATGCCAGATGCAGTAGGAGAAGTGCAGTTCTGTGGGGCAGGTTTGAGTAGCAATAAATCCATTCCAATCTGATCCTGGCTTCTTTATTAGTGGCTTGTTATCCTATTCTGTTCCCTCCCCCCCACCCTTCTCTATTCTTCTTCTCAATTCACCTACAATATCCTTTGTATTTGGTGAAATAGTGAATAATTCTTGCCTCAGAAAGCAAAAAGAGAGAGATGCTTTACACATCCGCTGTCTATGTATAATTTCAGGTGACTCCTGATTGCATATGTATTCCTATGAAATGAAAGTGGGTGAGTGATAAGAGGTTCTGTTCTGAAGTCCAAGTCTGTTGGCTACGATGGGCAGCTTCTGGGTGGGCACTGAGTGGGCACACCCAGTTTTGTACATCAACCAGAATCCATTTGAACTGGGCTATAACAAATTTGAATAAATAAATGCCACTATAACTCCTGCCCCCTCCCTTCCCGCTTGAGTACTTTTCTCTGCAGTCCTGTTTCACTAAAATCATACAGAATTACTGCTTGTAGGTTAAGGAATCATGATAGGTGTCAGCTAGTAAACACTACATCCCATCATTCACTTGTGGGCATTCTTGATTTTCTTTTATAGCTGAGTTGTGCAGGAAACAGGTCAGAGTCCCTTTGCATTACAGCTGAGGATGCCAGGAGGAAAGAACACATGTACTTCTGAAAATTTTAGGATTATTTTCATCTGACAAATTGCTTTATTTTAAATGTGGAAATCTGTTGAAATATGAAGTGAATCCACATCAAAAGTATTATTAATATTTGAATAATTTTAATTCAATGTCTTTGTCTCAATCAATTTTTCTTATCTGGCTATAACTTATCTTTTGGAATACACTTATAGGTTATGCTGCTTAAAAACTAAAATGGTCTTCAAGAATATTGGGCAGCACTGATTTTTAAAAATAATAAAGAGGTAGCTTATACAAACTTGGAACTATAGGTTAAATCTAATACCATACTTTTGTTAGAGAAGTTAGTTTCTGCTGATGAAAGTGAGGACAAGTATGTCACACAGCCATCCATAGACTTTCTGAATATATCTCCTCAAATTCTCCCCTGGAGGTCCTGTATTGCACATCAGGATTTTACAGGGGGACTGCTGCAGATAGAAGATGAACAGAAAGTCCCATTGCACTATTGGAAATTAGTTAGTTGAGAGACCAAAACATTTAAGTCCAATAATGTATCTGGTTTATTATATACTAGGATAAATTTATAAAATGTTAAGTAGCATTTAATTATTCAGTAATACTGTGAGACTTACCATGACACAAGTGCATTGGGCAGAACAAACCTCAAATCTTCATTGACCTAACAAAGGCATTTGATGCTGTAAACAGGATAACTCTCTGAACCACTTGAGTTGGTATGGATGCCTGAGGAAATGCATCAAGTTGATTCAGCTATTCCACAACAGAATGACTGGGCCAGTCATTTACAGTGGTGATACGTCAACTTCATTTGCCATTTTTACTGGGCGGTAAGCACAGTTGTGTCATAGCCCGAGTCTTATTCAATCTGTTATTTGCTTGCATGTTGTCACATGCTGTCCAGAGTCTGAAGAAAGGAGTGTACATCAGGTACTGATTACATTG